ATGCCCCAAATACAAGTGCATCTCATATGTAAAAGAAACACTACTAAAGCTTAAATCATACATTAAGCCATACATACTAATAGTGGGAGACACTTCAAAACCCCACTCTCACCACTGGACAGGTCTATCAGACAGAAACTTAATAGAGAAATAATGAAACTAACAGATGCTACAACTCAGATGGATTAACAGACATCTATAGAACATTCCATCCAAACATAAAAGAATGTATCTTCTCAGCACCTCATGGACCTTTTTAAAAACTGACCACATACTTGGTAACAAAGTAAACCTCAACAGATAAAAAAAAAAAAAAATTGGGATAACCCCATGTATCTTATCAGATCACCATGGCTTAAAGTTAGAATTCAATAGTAACACTAATTTCAGAATGCCAACAAACACATGGAAACGGAACAATGCTCACTTGACCAATGGGTCAAGAAAAAATAAAGAAATTAAAAACCTCCTAAAATTCAATGAAAATGACTGCACAAAAATACCCGAACTTATGGGACACAATAAGAGCAGTGTTAAGAGGAAAGTTCATAGGACCAAATGCCTACATTAAGAAGCTGGAAAATTCCCACAAAGTGTTAGAACACAAAAAATATAAAATAGCAAATTCACCCAGGAGAAATATACAGGAAATAATCAAATTGACAACTGAAATCAACAAAATAGAAACAAAGAAAACAGTACAAAAAAATCAGTGAGACAAAGAGTTGGTTCTTTGAGAAAATAAATAGACAAACCTTTATTCAAACTAACCAGAAGTCAGAAAGAATATCCAAATGAACAAAATAAGAAATGAAAAGGGGGACAACAGACACAGAGGAAATTCAGAGAATCATCAGATCATACTTCAAAAACTTGTAGTCCACAAAACTGGAAAACTTAAAGGAGATGAACAATTATCTGGATAAATATCACTTACTAAAATTAAATCAAGACCAGATAAGCAAATTAAATAGACTTATAAACACTAAGGAAATTAAAAACAATCATTAAAAGTCTTTCAACCAAAACAGCCAAGGACCAAATAATTTCAGTGCAGAATTCTACAAGATTTTCAAAGAACTAATACCAACACTTCTCAAATTGTTCCACACAACAGAAACGAAACACTGCCAAACTCTTTTAATGAGGCTACAATTACCCTGATACCAAACCACATAACGACATACTAAGAAAGAGAATTATAGACCAATCTCACTCATGAACATTGATGCAAAAATACTCAATAAAACACTGGCAAACTGAATCTAAGAACACATCAGAAAAATCACCCACCATGACCAAGTAGGTTTCATTCCAGAGATGCAGGGATGGTTCAAATACGAAAATCTGTCAATGTAATCTACCATATAAACAAACTGAAAAGAAAAAAAAACACATGATCATTTCATTAGATACTGAAAAAGCCTTTGCAAAATTTAACACCCGTTCATGATAAAAGTCTTGGAGAGAGCGGGAATTCAAGGAACATACATAAATATAATAAAAGCAATATGCAGCAAGGCAATAGCCAACATCAAACTAAATTGCAAGAAACTCAAAGCGATCTATCCAGCTGGAATCAGAAAGAAGACAAGCTTATTCACTCCCTCCATATCTATTCAATATAGTACTTGAAGTTCTAGCTAGCACAATAAGATGAAAAAGGAGATCAAAGGGAAACAAATTGGAAAACTCATGATCACCTTCAGTAATGTAACAGGATACAAGATTAACTAAAAAAAATTAATAGTCTTTTTTTATACAGATGATAAATGGGCTGAGAAAGATATCAGAGAAACATCACCCTTTACAATAGCCACAAATAAGATAAAATATCTTGGGGTAACTCTAACCAAACAAGTGGAAGACCTGTATCTCAAGAACTTTAAGTTTTTAAAGAAAGAAATTGATGAAGACACCAGAAAATGGAAAAATCTCCAATGTTCTTAAGTAGGTAGAATTAACATAGTAAAAATGGCAATTTTACCAAAAGCAATCTACAGATTCAATGCAATGCTCATCAAAATCTCAGCAAAATTCTTTACAGACCTCTAAAGAACAATACGCAAATTCACATGAAAAAAGAAAAAGAAAAAAACCAGGATAGCCAAAGCAATCTTGTACAATAAAGGAACTTCTAGAGGCATCACTATCCCTGACTTCAAACTCTACTATAGAGCTACAGTAATGAAAACCACTTGGTATTGGCTAAAACCAGACAGAAGGATCAATGGAATCGAATCAAAGACCTGGATATCAATCCACACACCTATGAACACCTGATTTTTGACAAAGAAGATAAAAATATAAAATGAAAAAAAGAAAGCATATTCAACAAATGTTGCTGGCATAACTAGATATCAACATGTAGAAGAATGCAAATAGATCCATATCTACCACTGTTAGATGAGAGCCAGTTGTTGGTACCTGGCTGCTTAGCAGTTCAGACCCAAATAATCACACAGAAACTGTGTTAATTAAATCACTGCTTGACCCATTAGCTCTAGCTTTTTATCAGCTACATTTTACATATTAATTAGCCCATTTCTATTAATCTGTTTATTGCCATGTGGCTGTGGCTTACCAGCTAAAGTTCTAGCATCTGTTTCTGGTGGGGCTATATGACTTCTCTTTGTCTGTGCCTCCTTTCTCCAGCATTCAGTTTAGTTTTCCCCACCTACCTAAATTCTGCCCTATCAACAGGGCAAGGCAGTTTCTTTATTCACCAATAGTATTTATAGCATATAGAGGGGACTCCCACATCATCTCCTCTTTTCTGTTTAAATAAAAAAGGAAGGTTTTAACTTTAGCATAGTAAAATTACATATAACAAAACAGGTATCAAGAAAGACTTACAGTTACTATATTTATATCTATTTTATCTTTTATCATAACTAAAGAAAACTATGACTATAAATTCTTCAATTTCATCAAAGACCTCAGAAGGATATGATATTACCTAAGGAAACAGAAAGTGCATTGTAAGCTATAAGGAGCCACCTGAAGAAATCGCCATTATAAGATGGCACAGGTGGTCCTGTAGCTTGGAGGTAAACAAATCCTTTGATGTTGCCAGGTGGGGCTGAGCACCCTTTGCTTAACCTTGCCCCTGTCCAAACTCGAGGCCCTGGGCACCAGCAGAATGGTATTAACCAATCAGGACAGTATCCGAGCCTCTCCACCCTAGAAAAGCAGCTGCCGCTTGGGCTTCTCTCTCTCTCTCTCTCTCTCTTTCTCTCTCTCTTGCTTCCTGCTCTCTCTGGCTTTCTGCTCTTTCTCTCTCACCCTTTCCCTCTCGCCTTCCCCTGCTCCTTCTCTCTCTCATCCCTCTTTCGTCCCCCATTCCCCCTTCAACCAAGTGGCTCCCTGCCCCCCTTTTGGATTACTGGGCTGTGTGGTTTCTTCCTATAAAAACTACTTCTCCCGGTCACTCAGGGTGAACTCTTCCCCTGCGTGGGTTATGAGTCTCGGCCCCAGTGCACTGGTTCCCATCATTAAACCTTGTGTGATTGCAGCAAGGACGGTCTCTCATGAGTTACTGGGAGGGTCGCGTTATCCCGAGGCTTGAGTGAGAGTCTTCCAATATCGGGGGTCTTTCAAACATTTATAAATAATATTTGGGAATATGGGCATAATTCTTCTACAAACTGTTTCCTGCTTTTTATTGGGTGAAGTAAGTTTTTGAGAGGCGTTCAAGGAGACCTTTCAGGGGCTCTTGGTCCACATTAGCCTGGAATGGATCCACAGGTTCTCATCCTCTGTGGAAACAAAAGAAGAACCTCTTTTCCAAAACAACGTATCCTTAGACCCAAATTCTGAAGTCAAGATACCTCTATAATATACATGCTTAGCAGCCCCTACAATGAAATGTCTCTCTGTACTTAGCTCTTTAACAGTCAAAAAATTCAAAGAAAGCACAATAATATACATAATACAGACTATCTGTGTATATTCCATCTTTACATGGCTTATTTGTTTTTACTCTATTACTTTTTAATATTTATTTTATTATCTTTGCTCTGTCTCTTTAAAGACAAGGAACATCAGTGGGGAGGGCAGGAGCTTTACTTACCTTTGTAACAACTCAAACATTAAAAGGAACTTAGGGTTCAGTCAGCGCCCTGGGGTTCATCACCATCACCATCGAGAAGGAACAGAAAGCAGACTATACTTAAAAGGAAGTGAGGTTATCAGCAGAAGAGAAAGATGAGCTGAAGCTCAGATTCCAGGGGTCGGGTAGAGTGGCTTTACTCATTAGTTGTCAGTGTGAGGGCCAGCCATGATAATCTAAGTCTGGGTAGAAAGGAAGTTCTTTACTTCCTCCAACCATTATCACCTGGGACTCTGGCCATTGATAAATTTAAATGGAGCCTAGAGTCTCAATAGTTTACCCTGAGACAATGTCTGGCAGGCCTAGATTATCTGACCCCCACCCAAGAGCAGACCAGGAAATTCCTGGCATTCCAAGCACTGTAAATAGAAAACCTGCCAGCACTTCACCAGGACACCCCTAGACAAATGTCAGCCAATCAGGGGTCCTAGACCTCAGAGACCCCTCACCCCCACCTTTACTACTATAAAAACCCAATTCTAATTGAGCTCAGGGCTCTCTGGATATTCCAATACATTGGACTTGTGGAGAGACCGAGTTTGCAAACTTGATTAAAATAAAGGCTCTTTGCTTTTACATATGGGACTTGTCTCCTTTGTGGGCTTTAGTGGCATGACGACCCACGAATGTGGGCATAATAGTCAGACCACAACTCAAGGTCTGAAGTGTCAGGCACTACTGTTTAGATGTTGAATTCAAAGGGGTTTATACATAAGTTGGGGACAAGCAGAGGCAATCCTCTTGTTCCCAGGGAAGTCTTCATGGGGTGTGTTTCAATGCCATATTTATTAAACAAATGCTAATGACAGATTTCCACAACAGCAACAAATGCTATTCCACTACATCAAATCTCCCTTACTGAGGAAAAAAATGACAACCACAACATTGATGGATTTGGATTACTTTTTCATGTTTTCTAGGGTGGTGGGGGGGTAAAGCCAGTATCCTCACTTGTCTTCCTCTCCTTTCTCTTGTTCACTTTTATCTGACTTCATTTTCTTTACCTCTTCTCTGGCCACGTGTCCCCGGAAGACGGATTGGATTTTGAGAGCAGCAGACTCCTCCTTTTCTCTTTCTTCCTCAGTAGACTCCTCCTTCATTGAAAGAAGAGAAAGTGAGACACTTTTCCAGAATGCTGCCTCTTAGATGCCATAGAAAGGAATGTATAGATTTAACCAATTTACAGATGCAACTATCTGAAGTCTGTTGCTTCCTGGGGGATTTTATACATTGTTAAATGCCAAAAGAGCAGACATTCAGCTTGCCACTCTTTAATATGTCTTAATACAAGCTCGTTGCCAACTTTTCTCTTGTTTCCAGACAGAACCTATTTAATGTTTTCTGAGAAATAACCTTGTGTTTAGAGTGTGGAAGCAAGAATTATTGAAGTAATTACTGTTCTGTGTTAACACCAGCATATGTGCTATTTTGAAGTAATTGTGATTATACAAGACTGATAAATGTTAATTCTAATTTCGAAATGTTTAGACAATTAAAACCACACATTTAGAGGTGGAACATCAAAGAGAAAGTCAATTTACTATTAGTAAATTGGGTTTATCAGAGTTGTTTAAACAGCAACATACAGTTTCTTCTTTTTCTTTTAAATTTAGGTATAATTTACAGATGGCAAAATTCATGGATCCTAAATGTAGAACTGAAAAAAATGCGGCCCTCAATATATCTTTTTTAAGCTACAAAAATTTAAAAATCCTCAAGTTATCACTTGTAGTACAAGTTGAAATATTTTCACCTCCTCAAATCCTGCTCCTAAAAAGTACCCTTTATTGTAGGTTGTGTCTCTGTATGTATTTGTGTATGTTTATACATCCTTCTAAAATTTCTCTATGTGTGAGTCCATTTACATGAAGATACATTTGTTTTTCAGTTTAAAACAAGACCATACTAATTGGAGTGCTCTACAGCTACTTTCCCCAAGAAACAAGGTATCTGGGCTTTTTCTTCTATGCTATTATTTCATATATAATTTTGCTCAATTTTAATGGGAGGGACATGAACATTGTGTTCCATTGTACTGACATCATTCAGCAGAAATTTATTATTCAGTCAACTATTGATGGACCTTTGAACTATTCAAAGCTATTCACACTATTTCATATTTCAAACTGAGTTAGGTTTAGCTCTTAAACTTTTAAATACAAATAGACAGGCATAAAATTCTTTGAGGTGATTCTCCAATATGGGCAAGTGAATTACTCTTAAGTTAAAAATCAATGGGACCATAACACAAACTTGTAGTAGCTTATGAAAGAGAATCTACAAGAGAAGTAAGGAAATGGCTCTGCTTTTCTATATTCCCTGAATCCCTATTATGTCTGATGCCACTATTAGATTATTTATGTTGTAGTAATATTATTCTAGATTAGTTAAATAATGTAAGAAAAGGTTGGTGTAAAGTCAAGGACCCCTGAGGCGCATATTCATTTTAGGTATCAATATTGCTAACTGAGATACTAGGACATGAAACGGAACTCAAAGGTTTGAACTCTGACATTGCACTGAATGAATTTTATGCAAAATCTTGCTTTTCTTTTTTTTTTTTTTTTTTTTTTTAAAGATGGGGTTATATTATGTAGCCTGTCCATCCTAGAACTAGCTCTGTAGACCAGACTGGCCTTGAACTCACAGAGATCTGCCTGCCTCTGCCTTCCAAATGCTGGGATTAAAGGCATGCGCCACCACCACCACCAGGCAAAGCCTGTTTTTTATTTAGTTTGAACTATGAAGAATACAGGTAATAATGTTCTGGTAAATGTTTAACTGGCTCTACAGAGAAATAATAGAACAAAACAACATTGCCTTCCTAAAATACCACCAAAGTTCTGGTTTGTAGTGTTTACCTTGGTCTCAATACTTTTAGTATTTTAAGTTATTAGAATGATGTTTATTGCATTGTACACAATTATCTCCAAGTAATGCCTTTAGCATACCACTGAATAGAGATAGGTAGTCTCTCTGAGGGTAGATTTTCCTATGTGTAGTTGGTTTGGACGTAAAATATCAAGGCAGGAAAGTATTTCTATAGAAGACCTTGCAGGTGTATGAGTAAGTCATATGGTATAAGGCCATTTTATTTGGTGGTATGTAATTGTTTTCCTTTAGTTATCTCTAACCTTTGCCTTTGAGTGGTGGCAATGGCAACAAGTAGTGAAAAAATTCCCAGAGTAGAATATTAATATGAAAGATGAGAGGAGGTTCCAAGTTCATCTGTCTGCCTCTTTTCCATGGAAAGATTTTCTGATCTAAATTTTTAAAGGGAAGAATGCATTTATGAAAATAATCTTCCAGTTTATCACCAATATTAATCATCTAGAAAGCATGATTTTAATTTCAAAAAGTATGTTAATATGTATTTTGTGCATAACTTTAAACTCAGCGATGCCATTTTGTATAGCAATACATAAGTAAATGAAAAATACTACATACAAAGGCCGTAACTGGTGTTTCTTCTTTCTCAGATGATTTGGCCATTTCTTGTTCACATATCTCAGTTTGTTCTTGGTCCTAGAAAGAGACAAGAGGGCCACATAGGCACTGTTTTGAAGATAGAAAACTCTGGACCATACTGCGTAAGAGAAACTTTAAGTTAAGGTATTGAGAAACATTAGGAAATTAAATATGTGTGTGTGTGTGTGTGTGTGTGTGTGTGTGTGTGTGTGTGTGTATTTAAACAACAGTTTATCTTGGAAAAAAAGAAGTGAACAAAAACTCAAGGTATAAACCACCATCTCACACTCAAAATTGATTCGGTTTGGTAATAAATCTTGAGGATAGTTAAAAAAAACAGTGTATAGTTTCTACAATAGTAATAAAATAAAAGTCACTGTACTCCATATTATGAAGTCAGGTTGACTTTTTAATGACAATGATAAGTTAAAAACTAAGTCAGTATTACAGAAGGGAAGGGGATTTGGGAAGAGAAGGTAATAGAGAATGATTATGGTCACCTTATGTGCATACATGAAAATGTCAGCCATTATTTTATTCAATTAACATACAATAATATATTAAATCAAGAAAGTGAGTTTCACTTTGGAAAAAGATATAAGCATAAAGGAGGAGCCAGCTCAGTCTGTTCTGACACGACTAGTCCAGTCTTCTGGCAAACAGAAGCACTGATAACTCACTGCCTTCAGGAAGAGAGTCTAACACAGAACATGGAAATTGAGGATAAAGAAATAAATAACAAAATCATGGAAACCCAAAATAAAAGAAACTCCTTGAATTTTCGATGTGACACAAGGACATAACATTTTCAACATTATTTTTTTGATTTAAGTAAAAACAAAAAAAACCAAACAAACGAACAAACCAAAAACTCTTGCATGTATGCGTGTAGATAATCATGGCTAAACTACAAATAAAAGCAACAGACTCACACAAGCAGGTGCAAATGGATAGAAATTCACTTCTGAATGAAAAGTAACAGCTTCTACAAAAATATTTTGCAAATCTATTGGAGTACATTAAAGCCTGAACTTTGTCAATCTCTAACATCTCTGTCAGAGTAACATCTGAGAAAATGGTGTTTCTTCAGCTGTCTAGAGTAGTATTGTAAAAAAATTTAATTTATTGTCATTTGTTGTTGTTGCTGTTTTGAGATAGGGTTTCTCTCTGTAGCCCTGGCTGTCCTGGAACTTGCTCTGCAGACCAGGTTGGCCTCGAACTCAGAGATCTACCTTCCTCTGCCTCTGAGTCCCAAGATCAAAGGCATGCACGATAATATTTAATTCAAATTAGTCTTTTTGTAACATGCAAATGGAAAAGTTGGACTAATAGTGTTTTATTTTATGAAATATAATTTATGACTTATGATGCTAAATAAAATTTAAAGAATAAGAGATAAGAGTGATTCTATGATATCATGCTCTTTCTCCTATTGGTCATCTTTAAATTTATACTAAGTATCAGTACTCAATTCAGATAGTTTAGAAGATTATCTCTCATTATAAAGAAGTTTTATTAAGCTATTAATAAAGCTTGACACACTTCTCGAAACTTGGGGGAGACAATAATAATTTCTTTTATTGGTAGAGAAAATATAGCCAAATCTGGTAGCTTCATAGAACTATACCTTGAATGCGTGGTTGTTATAGAAGCGGTCCTCTAGCTTAGCCCCCCATTCTGCTGGATCAAAGTTGGTTTCTAAATAACAAAAATATTTTTATATTTATTTTGTGTTCATTACAGTGAATCTAGAATAATACAGGAATACAGGTTTCTTGTTTTATCATAGGTTCTTTACTGACAGCTGAAAATCTTATTGGCATTGAACAGCCCAGTGCTGCAGGCATAAATAATTATTAAATATATGATGCCTAGTTTAATACTGAATGATCCTTTAGGGGACATTTACTCATAAGAAAATGGTAAAGAAAGAACAAATGCCAATATTCAAGTGAACAGACACCTAAAGCATGCATTAGCAACTGCATAAAAGCATACAAAACATGGTTAAGGGATCAGGGAGTCTGGAAAAGTGGAAGGGAGGGTTTTCACATGAAACACACTATGTAGACAGCTAACACAAACAAGAAGTATTTCCGTCCAAATATAATTTCCTTTAATTTTTTATCATGAAGATTTTCAAACTCCAAAAGTGGGATGTTCTGACAAGCCTCACGTGCACATTCCCTAGAGGCTACAATGGCCAATTCATGGTTTATCATTTTATCTCTACATATTCTTCTAGTTATTTTCCGGCCAACCCTAAACACCATATTAATTCATCTATAAACATTTAAATTTGTACCTTTAAAATAGTCTTTAAAATATAAGCATGTACCATTACCATATCTGAAATATTAACAATTCCTTACAATCATCCTGCATCTAGCCTACTATCCAAAATTGTCTGCAATGTCTAATACACTTAGCTATCTTGGTCATATCAGAGCCTCAAAATGGACACACACTACCTTTTGTTATGCCTTTTAAAGAGTTTTTAGTGGAAAATCCACCACCACCTTGTTTTTCTGTGCAATTTATTTGTTGATAAAGTTGGGCCAGTTTTCCTTTGGAATTTTCCAGTGTAGTAATTTCTGACGACTCCACCGGGAATTTTAACAGGGACATTTGCCCTTAAATTCTCTGTAGGTCAGTAGTTAGAGTTGCAGGTTTCATCTGATTCAGATTTGATTGTTTTGGCAAGAATACTGATTGGTAGTGCTAATCTCAGAAGATAAGTCATAATTTGCTCTCTCTAACCTTTAAATAATTTTTATGGGATCATGATGAATGCTCTCTAACTTATTTAGGGGTACAAAATAATAATGTTCTAAATTAATCAGTACTTATTTTTGGGTGGATTCAATAAAGAAAAGAGGCAACCATTTGGTTACCCTGAAATATGGCTCTTACAAAAAAGGTTACAGGTTTGATTCCTTTACCAGCTCTCGGAATAACCAGCTGCTCCCAGCACTTTCCTAAGAAGCCTGACAATGATGAATTCTGTGACTGATTTTATTATTATGATCTCACAGATATTTAGTAACCTGGGGGAATTATGGTCCATAGAGTTTTATTATTTTTCCTTAATTCTCTCTTTGTCCAAAATCTGGTTAGTGGTAGCTTATACAGGTGCTTGGATGCTCTTCAGGTCTTTGCTAGCACCCCTAGAAATTATTAGGATGGGAAGATGGTCAGCCTAGTCTTATATATTTATCCCATGTATATAGAACTGCACATGTGTATAGTCTGGTTCATGGGAACTGGTATTCAGAGATGATAATATAGGAGATAGATGTCCACTAACATTCGGTTAGTTATGATTTTGAGGTTTCAAAATCTACCAGAAACTACTTCCATTAAAAGATACACTTTAAAATAGTGCATACATGCATGAGTATGTGAGTGGATGCTCTATATATGTATGGGCACGGACATGCTATGGCACATGGTTGGAAGTCAGATGGCAAATTTCAGGAGTCTGCTTGGTTTTTCCACAATGTGGGTCTTGGAAGTTGAACTCTAGTCTTCTGGCTTTTCACCAGGTGCCTTCACTCTCTGAGCTGCTTCCATTTTAAAAGAGAAAAGATCACATTGCTATTTCTAAATTCAAGATTACATGGTTTTATTAAACTATTTATAAAATTATATTTTCTTACACTCCAAATTTTATTCCCAATAAGACTAGCATACTTGCTTGATTTATTCCTTAATATACAGGTCAAAGTTTCTGGAATAACTCTACAGCTTAGTCAGCTTTTATCACTGTCACAAATACATGTGATAACTTAAAAAAGGTAAGGTCTACGTTGGTTCACAATTTTAAAGTATTAGTTAAAGACTGTTTTGCCAGCCCAAAAATTTAAAAAAAGCAAAACAAAACACCTAATATGTATATTTGGGTTGTTGTCATAATGCTGTAATGAAAAGTGTAACCTTCTGGGCTACAGGTTAAATAAATATGGAATTTTGGCAGACATTCCAAAATTCCTTTCCTTTAGATTTTATATTACATATTTAGTAGGAATGGGTATAAGGGCTTATTTCTCTCAGCTGTATCTACAAACCATACTGTCAAACTCTTGACCTTCTGACAGTATGATGCAGGAGCAGCTGATGGCAGTTCAGTGTAATTTCTTCTATTTTTCTTTATGTGTGTGTGTGCCTATGGAAATAAAGAGGAAGTCAGATTCCCTGGAACTGTAGTTACAGGAAGTTGTGAGCCTCCAGAAGTGGGTACTGCTATCTGAACTTGGGTCCTCTGCAAAAGCAGGGAGTGCTCTTTACCCCTAAACCATCTCTCCATCCCCAGCTGAGTGACATTTTGATTTGAGTTGCTATTATGGGCCAGTCTGACTACATTTTCATGTTAAGGGCTATCTGCGTTTACCTCTGTGTGAACTGTTTGTTGGTATCTCTTGGTATACATATGTTACAACACAATATTTTTACAAGCTTTTTATTAGGTTTATTAACTTACTGGTATGCAAATTGCAAGCATTTTTTCTCAGTTTGCTATTTGCGTTTTTGTTTTCTTCATGGTGTTTTGCCACATACAAGTTTACTTTTTATGTTGTCAATTCTATCAATCTGTCCCCCTGTTGTATTTGGATTTGAAGCAACAAAGGCAACTTAGCAAGCAAGATGTTTTCTCCTAGCATCTATATGGTTTCTTTTTCATGTTTAAACTTGGAGTCAGGTTATAATTTATCTGGCTGTGTGCCATAAAGAACTGATGCTATTTTGTTTATCCATTTTTATCTCACTATCATTTAAGAAGTTCATTTTCCCTACTGATTGGAGAGACCACTTACATTGTATTTTAACAGGTTTCCCATCACAAAAAATGGAGACCAGTAACCATCTGTGAAACATGGTGGCAAGGGGATTCTTGCAATGTGGGAGACTGGACGAGAAACTTACAACCGTTTATTTTGCCTTTGCTTGGGAAGGCTAAATTCTTCTACTGTGTCAGTTGGAAATCCATGTGTAGTTGATCTAGGTGGAAGTGGGTGTGGTAGTTGGATTTTTTCAAAGGTTTTAGTCATTTGTTTATCAGAGAGCTTGCACTCTGAGGTCCTTCGTCATCAGTTGTTTTTATTACTGTGCCCTGGTAACAATGACTCAAATATGTTTTTAGTGGTATGTTCCTGAGTTCTAAAGTTAAACAAATGACCAAAGATTTTTACTGCATGAATTTGCAAAATTAATGTTATAATAACAAAATTCATGTACATAAAACTACTACTTGTAATCAAACATGTTTAATAGCCTTTCCCCACTAATGCTGCAGGCTGTGCACTCTGACTAGATATGGGACAGATCGGCAGTAATCAGGAAATTAGTGAAATTTTGAGTTCTTCAAAGGTGGGATCATAAGGGGCAGGGGTGAAGCTGTTTGTGTGTACGGGAGTTGTTTTGATTCTTGCTTTGCTCTGGGTTTCTTCTCTTTGTAAAATGATTTTCAAAGCAACGTCTGTTTGTTTGAGGCTATTTCTAGTCTCCTTTGCCCAAAGTAATAATAACAAAGCTTATATAACAGGATTGTTTCAGGCAAAGAACAGGTTTTCAGTACAAAGTTACGATTGCAATGGGCCAGACCTTTGACCACTGGGCCAGACCTTCATAGTCATGAACCTTCAAAGCTGGGATCTGAAGATTGTCTTTATGAAAGGGAATGTAGGAAGTTCACTTTGGCTTGGAATCAAAAAGTTACTATTAGCATGGACTCTAGTCTCTATGTAGGATGGGACCTGGAGGGCATATAGAATGTAAATTACCTTTCCCAACTGGCAATCCACTTGACAAAGCAGTTTGTTTCTGTGTCTTCGTTGAAGAACAGTTTCATATACCCCAGCGAAAACCAATTTACTTAATCTAAAGAGTGTTGAAATATTTTTATAGCACTTATAATACTTTCAAATGAGAGGAATCAAAATTTAAAGAAAGCCACAAATTATCCTCTCAGGAAGAACAGGCAGTCAGCTAACAGAGACGCATAGGAACAGGCCCACCTCCTTCAACACCCTCTATGTGAGAAACGCAATGAGAGTGGCCTGGGGAGTGAACTGTACATACTGTTTCAAATAGCAAGAACCTGTCTCACAAAGGTTTCCTGCACAATTAACACGATCTTTAGTTTCTGTTGTTGTTATTGTTCTCTTTTCTGTGTATGTATATGTTTTTGTGTTCCCATGTGTGTGGGTACGTGTGTGTGTGTGTGTGTGTGTGTGTGTGTGTGTGTGTGTGTGTTGAGGGTGTGTGGACATGTGTTTGCATATGTATGGAGATCACAGGCTGAAGACAGGTATATTCTTCAATTGTACGTTTTACCATAACAGAATGCTTAGTTTTTTTTTAAAAATTCCTATTTTTTTTAAAAAAGAGCTTACTCTCTCTTTTTTCTAGAAGGTTTTCAAAATACGCTGCGGCAAAAGCTGGTATATTCTCCGGTTGCTCCCTCAGAATCTCCCGTGTCAGCCCTTCAAGAAGATTTCCAAATCCTTGTGGAATTCGGTAGTGGGTGTTGGAGAAAGGAATCGACATCTCCTTGGAAAGAATTGCCTATGGTACCTGAAGATTTAGTTAAAAGTATCTAATTTTAATGTATCTAATTTAAAGTACATAATCACAGCTACAGCAAACCAACTCACAATCACAACAACTCAAATTATTTCACAGACACACATATTTTGGACTTAAAAAAGTTCATACAATCCAGGCATGGTGGTGAATTACTTCAGTAGGTAAAGATAGACTGGAAAGAAATCCCTGCAATCCACATTGTGGAAGGCGAGAACTGACTCCCACAAACTGTTCTCCGAGTTCCATAGGCAGGCTGTGTCCCCAGGGTTGCACCCATACAGACATTCACACTCAATAAATGAAAACAAAATTCAACCCTCTAAGTCTACCCATTTCTTTTGGAGTTTTTTAACTCTATCACGAATCATTGGGTTTTTGTTTTGTTTTTCCTTTTGAGATAAGGTGTCTTTACATAGCCCTGGCTGTCCTGTCTCCCAAGTGGTGGGATTAAAGGTGTGTCACACCACAGCCCGAGAATTATAGTATTATAAATGCAGATCCACTACTTTAGACAAATCATTTATTTTTTTTTAAAGTTAGAGAGCTACAGTTTTCCCTAGATATTAAGTACTTTGTCTTCCTGTCCTTAAAAGGTGAGGTTGGTTTTTGCTAGCTGGCAATATTTAAGAGACAGTGGTTGCTGGGAAGCTCATATAGTCCCGTTTACACTGCTAAGAAGAAACTGTTTAAAGTTTAAAATTAAAAAAACAAACTGGTCAGCTGAGGGCGGGGGAGCACTCCTCTGATCCCAGTAATTGGGAGACAGGTGGGCAAATCTCCGAGTTTGGGGTCAGTCTAATCTACAAATCGAGTCCCAGGACAGTCAGGGTTACACAAGGAAACCCTGTCTCGGAAAAAAAAAAAACAAACCCAAAAAGAAACCCCCCCCCCCAAAAAAAAACTAGTCTTGGTTCTAGAAATTATTATAATTTGTTGTATAAAATTTCACTTTCTTTTTCAGCCCCCACTTCTGAAGCATGGCCTATAAAGTCTTCAAGCACCTCTGTATTCTAGATATTCTAGGGTAGGGCTGAGAAAGAGAGGTCGTGGTTTTAGAGGCCAGCCTTTGAAGTTTGGTGAAGTTTTATTTCCTGTGTTTGCCTGGCCTTCTATTTTGTAATTCAAGGGCTGGTGGCTGAAAGGTGTCTGACAAAGAGAGGGCTGGGTCCCTGAGTAAAGACTGCTTCGGGATTGGGTTCATTACCCTGAGAGGCACAAAGGGGCGCTGGGAGGGGTCTAGGCGGGAGGACTTGAGGTTTAACGAGGCCTAACCTGTGGAGAGTCTTCCTTCTCTCTTGTGGGCGGGAACGGGAGATTAAATACCGAATCTTTGAGGACTGTGAAAAGCCCTGAACCGGGCGGGAGAGCGCGGGCGGTAGAGGGGGAAGACGGGTCAAACCGTGGGCGGGACGTCGACGACCTAGCGTTCCAGATTCTCCAAGAAAGGGCTTTCCGGGCTCCCTATCCGCTCCAGGGGTTGCGGGAGTGTCGGGGATGCCGAGAGACTAGGCCACACGACGGAAAAGGCGAAGCCTCCACGTTGGAGAGGGAATGCGGAAAAACTACCTCACCTCTTCTTTCTCTTCAAGCTGGTGCGGATGGTTCCAGTTGTTTTATCTCGTTGCTGGGTAACCGTTTTTTGTTTTTTTTTTGTTTTTTTTTAAACTACGGTGGCCGGGAAGGAGAGGGGCAGCGCCTTGCGCCGTGCCGAGGATGGTTTCGCGTACTGAAGACTAGGGGGTGGGGCCCGCTATTTGGCCCTCCCAAGCCCCGCCCACCACAGAGACCACTCCCCCGTCCCCGCCCCTGCCTAGGGGCTCTTCCTGAGTCCAGCGCGTTGACACGGATTTCCGCAAGCATGGTTGCCCTGGGGTCTGTGTGTGGCCTGCTGCTGCTCATAATCGTTCGAGCCAGCAGAAGTGCAGGTGAGGTGACATGACTCTGCGGGACCCTTCCCTTTCAGATCCTCTGCAGGATCTTGGCCCTCGTTCCCTCTCAAGGTCTGGTTTGAGTCAGAACCGGTCTTTTCCTACCTAGGCCTGGTGTGAAGGTGAAAGTCCTGCTGGGCCGTCAGCTGCCTTTATCCCCACCCACCCACGGTCCTTCACTTGAAGCACAGGGGGCAAAGGGACACTTCGGTTTATCAAGTTGGGGAGGCTCCTATGTGCCCAGTCCGAAACCTTCAGGAGAGTTCTGAGAAAAGGGGGCGAAGCTAGTTAGATAATATTTGGAAACAGGTGACTGAGTCATCCAAAATACTTCAGCACCTGCCCCCACAGTGGTACCCTTGGGGAGGGCTTCTATCGGAATGGGTGCCTTGAGGGAATTAAATTTTACTAGTTTAAGTGGTTATTAGGGCTAAGAAATGCAACCCCCTCACTAGCGCAGAATAATTTAAGGTTCAGTTCTGAATTTTGGTGCAGCTTAGAGAGATTGGTGGAGGGAGAAGGCTCATCACATTGGGGAGGAGGCTAACTCACACTGGTCATTCTGCAGGGCAGAGCTTGTCATCTGACTAACCCAGACTGGACATTGCCTCTCAGCATGGAGATGTCTGATGATAAGAATCTGCCTCAAAGTAAATCTTTGAGACTCCTCACTCAAAGTAAAGTGATAGTTAATGCTGGATCCACCCACCCTTTTTCTTATCTGTATCACTTTAAGAGTGGACCCCAAACACTGTCAATAAATGAAATTTGAGGGGTTGGGATTATAGCCCAGCGGTAGAGCTCTTGGCTAGAATGCTGGGAATTTGAACTTTCTTCACCACAGTAAATAAAAGAAATGAAGGTTAAAGTGAGAAGAAAAGGCTTGATTGTGCTCTACCTAAGCACAAGACAGACCCAGCCATCAATGGCCTTTCAGAGTTTCAAAGCTAGTGCACTGTAGTTAGCGGTCTTTCCCATTTCTTGTCTCTCTCATCGTCTTTGGAACCTATCAGAGGAGGTGGGGAGAAGGTAAAGACAATGGAGTTTTCCTCTTAGTTTTTTTCTTAAGGTCTGTCACATTTAATATCACTGTTTCATTTCCTTTGGGTCATATTACATGACCTTGGTTGCTCTTGCCATTCATAGGTGCTCTAGAGTTCTCTCCCTTCTTCCTGGCCTATCCTAACGTCTTCCCTTTAACTCTCTTCTTTTGCTCATGTTTATAATGTAACAAAAAGTTACATCTCACAATGAGGGTCTCTATGAACTCACCACCCAGTGTGAGAGCTACAACACCGGTTTTTACCGAGACTGCCAGGGTACTCCTTATTAGTACCTCTGCTGGCTTCTCATCAGAGGTAGCTGCTGTCTGAAAACTTTTGCTCGTCTGCTTGTAATGATTGCTTCTTCCCCACAGCTCCCATTCTTATTTTCCACTTCAGTTCTGAAATGAAGGGAGAAATCCAGCACCTTAAAAAAAAATCATTTTGACTATGCCTGGTTGTTTGAGATGTGTGACTCTTTTCTGTCCGTTTCTGGTCCTCAGTATCTTTCACTGTCTGTCCAGCTTAGAATGTGAACTTTGTAAGGGTAGAGTATATAATTTTTCTTTACACTATCATCACGATCTAACTGAAGCAGAAAGGAAATGATTCCTTCAGAATTAGATGACATGGATTCTAATTCTGTCATCAACTTCCTTCTGAGGTCAGTCAAGGAAATTACTGTCTCCAGTATCTTCAGCACTCCGTTACATGTGTAACTTCCTAGTAGGTTGCAAAATCCCCAGCAGCAAGACTTTTTTATCTATTGTTGGTAGAATCTTCCCTCCACCGTTATAGCCTCAGTGTGTAAAACAGTGCCTGGCACACAGTAGGTATCAAGAGATATTTATTGACTTCACAGCTGTTCTAACTATTCTTAAAAATGGCTTAATCTATTTGTGTCCTAGTCCCTCGATGGGTAATGTGTTTGTATCTCTTGATCAGTAAGTAGCACAATTATACTATTATTATAAAGATATTTTCCACCTCTAAAATTCTTTTGCTCATCCTAAAGCTCTTCGCAAAGACTTTCTATAAATGTGTGTTGGCAAACACAGACTGGCTTGAAAAGACATTCCCCAGCCTATGGACAGACTACTGGTTGCATACTCTAATTCGTCAGCAATGTTTTCTTCACTCAATTCCTCTAACTCCAGCCCTCTCTCTACTTAGTTCTTATTTATGCCTTTGCTTCAGCTTTTGTTCTGTATCTGCCCGAGACAGGGTCCTCCCACACATATGCCTCCCGGTTTCCCCAGCAGGCCGCCAGCCTGCTTATGCAATTCTGGGATGTTGTGGTTCTAGAGTGTTTTGCTCATGGTACATGCATCTTGAGCTTGTTAGGCCTTCTGGATAATCCTTGATTGTCATGGAGGCTTCATGATCAGATGAACTCCTGAGTGAGAAAGAGAGCTGAGGATTTTTAGGAACATGTCTGGTATTCTAAGAGCAGTATAAATAGGCCACCAAGCTTGTGAGGAGACCCCCATAAGCTCTACTGCCCTGTTAAGTATAGCCTAAGGGGCCTGCCATCTTTTGTAGCTTTCAGAGAGGAAAATGTCAACTTTGCTTGTTAATTCTAATTCTCTTTCCTGCTTATCATGCTTATTAAAAAAAACCCTTAATTTTGTAAATTAATTTCTTTGGAGGATTTAAAGAAATCTTTTCTGTTGAGACAAATTGGGATGTAAGTTTTATAATTTTCCTAGTTAAATTTCTGTGAGCTCACTGGGATCATGTGGATCAACGCTTGTTATTTAAAAAGTACTTCGATATAGGCTATGAGTTAAAAATAGAAATGATCTCGTTAAAGTGAATTCTTATTCAGTCTTCTTGGTGACTCTTAGCACAGAATTCAATATGCAAGTATGCCTCCTCTTTCCTTTGCCTGTGAAATGGTGACGAGACATTTTTCTCTGAGATTTTAATCTTCTGTCTCTCCATGATCTTAATTTTGTGTCCCGAATTTATCTGAATTTCTCAGGGAGACTTGTCACAGTCATAAGCGTCATACCGGGTCATAAAAAAAAAAAAAATCAAACCCCCAAAAACCCAGACAATAACGACAACAACAATGCATGCTAAGAGGAACGACGTGAAGGGGTTTGGCAGTGGCAGGATGGAAGGCAGGAGATGAAGATGGGCCTGGCATTAGGGAGGCTGGGTTGGAGGCAGGCATCACTCTTCCTTCCTAGCTCCTAGGAGTGGGCACGGTGACGGAGAGTTGGGGAAGGAAGTGGTTTGGTTTTCTTATAAACACCATCTGTGAGGTATGTGGATGGTTTGTTTTTAGTGATTAGGAAGAAAAGTTAAGTGTTAGGGCCAAGTTTTAGAGCCAGGGCGTAGGGTGGAGGGTTGACCAAGAGCTATGAATGGGGAGGGAAGGAGATTGTGTACATTGGTTGTTGTCCTGGGTCCTAAGTTTACTTAGTGATCATGTTATCCTGTGATGCATATTGTTGGAAACTGTTCTTGTTATGTTGTTATTTAGTTAAGAGCAGCACGGTCTAGTTTGGGAAGATTACAAAGCTTGTGTAGACTCGTATTCTTTTGTACAAGGACTGTATGTTACTTCCACTTGATGCTCAGTCTCTCTGATGATAGTCTCCTAAGTGTTTGCCAACATTTCTAGGTATTGGTTTTCGCTTTGCCTCATACATCGATAATTACATGGTGCTGCAGAAGGAGCCTTCAGGGGCGGTGATCTGGGGTTTTGGTTCACCAGGAGCTACAGTGACGGTGACCTTGTGCCAAGGTCAGAAAACCATCATGAAGAAAGTGACCAGTGTGAAAGGTAAGGCAGCCCATTTTCTCTTCAGTTGTTGTCTTCTTCTGCCACCTGCTGGATTATCTGAAAATGAATGCTTATAACTCCAGCTCAGGCTGTCTGTCCATCCATCCATCCATCCATCCATCCATCCATGCATCCAACCATGAAAGCTATTTTATTTGAGTACTTACTATATGAATAGGCACCGAAGATACCACAAATGGTAACAAAGCTCAAAGGGTTTGCTAAGGACCTGATTGAACAGAACAGATTATGCAGAAGTTTGATGAACACTGATAAATTATCTGTGGAGTTCTATGAGATACAGAAGAGAGGCATATACCTCAGTGTGGTTGCTATGGAAAGGCTGCCAATGAAGATGATATTCGAGCTGAATCATACATGCCAGAGAGGCAGTCCTAGATTTGAGAGAGATGGCTCAGTGGGCGAGAGCTTTTGCTGCTCCTGCAGAGGACCTGGGTTCAGTTCCCAGCACTCACACTGGGTGGCTCATAAGGCCCTGTAAACCCCAGCTCCAGGGGATCTGATGCCCTCTTCTGTTTACTCTGGGCACCTACATATACATGGTGCACATGGACACACACACGCGTGCGCGCGCACACACACACACACACACACACACACAATTTCTTAAAAAGTCTTAGCGTTTTTTTTTTGTTTTTTTTTTTTTAAAGAGTCAATTTGGAGATTTGCTAAATAACTTTGGCTCTAGAGTTCACAGTCTAGGTTCTGAGTCTGACTCTGTCATTTCTGGGTATATAATTTAGACATATTATCAAATATTTATGTTACAGTGTGTTTTCCATGTATAAAGTGGAGGTGGTACTAATTATCAATGGATGATAATGAGGAGTAAATGAGTAAACACATAAATGAGCTGAAACAGTGCTTGGCACATTAGCTTGGGTGGACATTGTTGTTCCTATTACTGTTATTATTCACTCAGTTATTCCAATATTTGTTATCTACTG